TGTTTGTGAGCATGGTGATGCAGGCCAGGACTGAGCGAAACAGCTGGGGCATTGATAGCTGACCTAGACAGAGGATTAGCTCTTTGCTGCTGGGTTGCATTTACCTTGGATGTAACCCACAATTGCCAGCTTCACTCATACTGTGCATTGCTTTGAACAACAGACTTCTGAATATTATTCCTCTCTTGGTTTTCTCAATTCATACACAAATTCAATAGCAAGAGCCATAATTTTGACCCAATGTAGCTCATCTTTACAGTGCTCGATATTTCTGATTTTGTGTTGTTTGGAAGATATGACCCACACAGACGGTATTTGCACACGCTATTTTTTTGACAAAGGAATGCCTTTTAATTATAGGCTTGACCCTTTTAACAATAATTGGCACATCTGAAGTAAATGCTATGAGACTTTCTTTGGTTATTTTGTTTCATAGGGTTTTTTTGTGTGTGTTTTGAGCTTTCATAGCAATAAAGTCAGTAAATATCGAAATGAAAATAATTTTACAGCAAGATTAAGATGATGTTTATAATTAGTATTACCAGCTATGTGGCCTAAGTAAAATTTTGCAAATTTTAAAAGAAATTTTGGTTGTACAAACAATTTTGCTCATGGGCCCTAGGTGGCAGGATTGTTCCACATTCCTGAAATTCACAGTAGTGAATTAATTCAACAGTGAAATTGAACAGGCAAAGATGTGCCAGGTTAATATCTCATAGTGCATTCAAATGGAAGAAAGCTATGGTTTTAAAATGGCTATGCACAAGTGTAATGGCGTGGGTTTAGTTTCCCAAACTCTACTTTATTCTGTGTTTTGTATTAGCTAAGTGGGAAGGCTGTTATTTTGCTGCTTGATTCTAACCGATAGGTTTTGTGTACAGCACTGAAAAGAAAAATGGATCAGATTGTGACGATTGCTTTCATATTGAACAATGCTGAGTCTTGTTTTGTAAGAAGGTACCTCCAGTGTGTCAGAAAGTAGTAACCAAATTGTGTTTCCTGAATGAAATTTAGCTTAGCTGTGAAGTTACCTCATACCTGGGCACTTGTTCTGTGATTTAATAACTAAGTCCAGCGAAGACTGTATTTTTGTATGACATACGCCCATAAGAAGTAAATTCAGGTATCTGCAAGTAAGTGTTCAGAACAGATGTAGTTCTCTTCTATCTTCAGGATATTACAGCATTTCATGTTTCCTAGTTAGTCTGGATTCTGTTTCAAATTAGATATTTTGCATGTCTTTGTTACAGTAAGTTTGCTGTCAAAATCTAGTGAATGAAATATAATACAGACCACGTGAGGAGTGAAACTTGTTACTGAGAACACTCCACAGATATACAGGGCTAATAGCTGCACGTTTTCCATTCATTTTAGTAGACTGTAGTAATACTTCAATGTTTTGACTGGAGAAATGTTATTTGATTCCCAGAGCAGCTTTTCTGTGAAAGGGAGTGTGTGACTTTAATTTTCTTTTTCCTCAGCAGTTAGCAAAAATCAAGTGTTATTGATATTTTTTAATATACTCTATTGGACAGCTTAATGTTTTTTTCCCTAAATTCTGCTTTTGTTAATTGTATACATTCCAATTGTTCCTTACATTGCAGTTGTTCTGAAAGCACAACTAAAGAGAGGTGTGTATATTCAGGTGGTCTTTTTTAGCTGTTTGTGTTTCTTGTACCAATCGTTCTATTGTATGAATGACTGTATTACAGTCTTTACAGGCCAAAAGCATATGGAAAGTGGTTTAAGTTCCACGAGCCCTCTGCATGCCCATAAAGCATCTTGTGCTTTTACTTATTATTCAGCAGAAACTTGAGAATGCAAATGGGAAGAGGGGTTACTTCATCACGGCCTAGTATCATCCAAAATCGTATTTCTAGCTGTGGTCTTGTTGAAAAGTTCCCGTGTTAGGAAGGATGTTGGGTCAGAAATGATGGAAATCAGTTACAGTTTCAAAAAGCACAGTACAGAGAACATCCAGAGTTCATGTAACCAGGCTACCTGTATTTGCATGCTTGTGTTTGCTTGCAGCTGTTCCTGAATATTAATCTTGGATATGTTCAACCTTTGAACCTGAGGGCAACTGAGCACGCAGTTCTGAACGCAGCAATCTGAGACTCTTCGTTTTAGAATAGCAAGAGGTGAAAATCAGCTTCAATATTTGTGAACAGTTTGTGTGGAAGATATTTAGTGTTTCTTGACATAGGAGAGTGATGCCTTCTCTAAAGGACTCTGGATCGAAATGTGTGCTTTACATTTAAGCATGCAAAAGGTTTTCTTTTAAATATACAGTTACTCCATTGATGTACTATACAAACAAGTTAATTCCTATTAAGTTAACTCTAGTGAGAGTTAGTTGACTTGGTGCATGTTAGTCACTCTGTTGTTGAGGAGTGACCTATCTGTGGCATGACATCTGGAGAATTTATGTATTGTTGCAGGTTTTCTTCAATAATTTGTAAGGATTCTTCCTGTAAGATGATGATTGACTGTTTAGCTGACTGTAGCTGCTGTCCTTGATCCTCTATTGGCTACTGCTGCTTTCCCTTCCCAATCTATTCCTAGAGCATGGGTCCAGTATTAAGAGGAATGATGGAAGATGGGAGCTATTAATGTAGAGCTTTATTTAAGTAAACAGCAGAATCCTGATTGTTACAGCTGCTGAAACATTCTGCCTCTTTGGTTTTTTTGTTTTGTTTTGTTTTGTTTTTTTTTTTCCCCCAGTGGGATGAATTATTATTAGCTGTAAACATGGATGGAATTAACAAAGAGATCTTTCATGGGCACAGGCAGAAAAACAGAAGAATTGATGAAATTGTCCTTTTTATACTAAGGGTTTTCTAAAGCATTCTTTCTGAAGCGTGTTCAGATTTCTTTAAGACCTAATGCAGAGAGAGATGGATTTATTCATTTTTCTGGGCTGTGCCCCACACTGGAAGTTTTTGATAAAAAATGTTGCATTTGAGATGAAATTCAACTAAATCTGGGTAGAAACTGGAGCGCGTTTGTATTCTGGGTCTCTGTTGGGATGAACAATGAGCACTCAGAGGTCTTTCCGCTCTTCAGGGCTTTGCAAATCAGTCAGTACCTGCAATGGATGCTCTGCTTGATTATTTTTTGTCATAATATAATCCCATATCCCCAACAAGACAATAAAAAGCAAGATGGTGATTTTAGTTTGAGTGCTTGCTAAGGCACTGTTTTTTGTCTGTCTAAATAGACATTATTGGTGTCCTTGAGGGACCTGCATTTTGATGCTGTCAGAGAAAACATCAGCAAGAACACTTTGTAATTCCGTGCTCAATAACAACTTCTTTTCAGCAGACTAGAGAATATCCTGTTGTTCTTCACCCTGATGGAAATTGAAGTTTGGTCCAGTTATTTAAAAAGTGAGATGCTGAAATGCCCTTGAAAAATTCCTATGTAGGAAATTAAACAGAGTTTGAAGAGTATGTAAACCATGTTTTTTAAGAATGAAACAGAAATGTGGAAGCTGGCTGCAGCTCCTCTGTGATGGAAGGATTTGGCTTTTCCACGGGCAGTCTAAACTCTAAATTCCTGTTCTTGTTAATTAATCAGTTTCTTCTCCCGCGTTTTGGAAGACTGAGGAGCTTGTCTTTCCAAGAGATAGTATGTGATGAAGCACAGCAGTGACGGGAATTGTGGTTGTTGTGCTGCTCAGCCCAGACTTCAGGAGAACTCTGAATTTCAAGTAAAAACATGCAGTTAGTTTAGTTTTCCTTAGAACAGAGCTGATTTTGAGTATCTGCATATAATTGATATGCACATGGCTCAAGCTCTTTGAAGGGTATTACCAAGGTTTTTCTGATAGAAAAGAACTTGAAATATGCTTCTGCGTGAGTTCTCTCAGTCTTTATGAAAAGATTTTGTGCAGTAAATGGCTTTACCTTCATAAGTGGTTTCCAGAGGTCTCCAGGTGCAGCCCTTCTGCCTTTGAATTAACGGGCAACGTGCTTGTCAAGGGAGCAAGCTTAGAGAAGCTTTGCTTTCGAGATCTCTAATTTATTTCTATACAATTCACCCCAGAGGTCTTAGTTGTGTAACTTCTGCATTTGGTTTGTGATGCTATTGGCCTTAACTGACAACATTTCAAGATTAGCATACAATGCTGTGGAAGAGTCTAAGCATATAGACTTATAAATACTTCATATATAAAAATATGTATGAATATATAAAAATACTTCATACTGTTTTGAAATATTAAAAAGTCATTTTCATTAACAAAAATTTTCTCATACTGACACTGGTGAAAGTTGTCAGTAATGAAGGGCATTCTGTACACATGTATTTCTAACATTAAACACCTTAACTTTAAACAACTTAACTTTTCAAGAGTTAAATTAGTACCTACAATTTTGCTTAGAATAAAACAAGCCTATTCATGTGAACAGATGCATGTATTTTAAAAACACTGATTGCTATAACTTGTATGGTTGTGTCCCAATGACTTGGAATTATCTGACAAAACACTGCCTCAAGTTACTACAGTTATTGTCACGGATTGCTCTTAATTCAGACTGCAGTGAGCAGACGGGCACCTTTTAGCATATACGTAACTGGAATTTGTCCTGGAAATCCTTGGTGAACATCTTGTTTTTTAATGTTATTTATTTGTTTGTTTTTGTTTTGTCTTGCTACAGCAAAGCATGATAGGCAAGAACAGACAAGGAAATTAGTATACTAGCTCTTTGTGAATAGCATGGTTTAGTTGGTGTTGTAATGATGCCAGTTAGATTCAGCAATGTCTTTTGAGCATGTAAGTCTTAAGGAACAGAGGTGGCAAGTCTGCCCAGGAGCTGCTTATGTTTGGGTTCTGTTACAGCAAAAATAATCAGAAAACTTCTGTTTATAAAACTTGTGCTCTGTCTCTGTTTTTCTATGAGACACTAGTTAACTAAGTGGTATTTTCTACTTGTGTTGGTGTTACTTGAAATAGAGATAGTCGGTAAGATTCACTGATATCTGATAATGTTTTTCAGAACTTTGCCAAGAATATTTTTGCAATTCTTCAATCAGTAAAAGCCAGAGAAGAAGGCCGAGCACCTGAGCAACGACCTGCACCAAATACAGCACCTACGGTAAGAGCAGCACTTTGGTGGCTTTAGGGGCTGGCACTTCAAATTGAGAGTAGAATGTCTTGTCATTATTAAATACAAAGTTTGTTTTAGTTTCATTCCAGTGAACGAATAATTTCCCAGCACAACTTCGTAGATATTCTTTGCCTTAAGTTACATAGACTGGTATTTAAAGAGCTGAATATATTAGCTTAATTTGTTCAGTATGTTCTTGTTACTTACTGATGAAGTGTTAGTGCCAGCTTCTGTATGTATCATACACTAGCGATATTCTGCATCTACTTGGAAAAAATGTATTACATGAGACAACTGCCATTTAAAACAAAATGTTTTGCTGGTTTTTTGACAGATAGGGTAGCAAATGTTTAAGAATCTGGAACATGACTCATGAGTGGGAACAGCTTGAACCAGCTTTCTTTTGCCTGTAATAAATCAGAAGGACAATCTTACAGCTTTATCATTTAAGCTGTCTAGGTATTAGACAAGGTTTGTTCTGTGTTATGATATTTACCGTTAGCCTATATTAAACATATTCTTGAACTTCATGGCAGTCTGCTGTAAAAGATGTTTAACTTGGTTTATTTTAACTACTCCTGCCTCTAACAGAGGCCTAAATTTATGTGGCCAGGTGAATTTCAACATTTAAGTGTTTGTTTTATGTTGAATTTTACAAATAGTACATTGGACTATTAATATGTCATGCAGAACAGTCACAACAAGACCACAGAACTAAGTCATACACAGAAGGAATGAGTTGGTACTTACTGGCACATTTTAGGTACTTGAAAAACAAAGAAAACCCCACTGTAACAAACAAAAAAAGCAAATGATGTTTTTTTTTTCCACTGAGTTTGGTTTTATTCTGAGGGTATAATGTATTACTAGCTCAGTCAAGCTGACAGGGTACATACTGTGTGTATGGCTGAGCCATGAGTTGTCAGTTCTTTCTTTAAAACCTTGAGGTATTAGAAAAAAATCTATGATTTTATGCAGCTTACAAGTTTTAGCTAATGTGGTTTCTTACTGATTGTTTGATTTGTCTAAGTTCCCATCAGTATGTACTTCTAAACTGTTTCTGTAAGTGGATGCTTAAATGCATCAGAAGTTTTCAAAGGCATTTCAAGTCTTACCAAAGTGAACTGAGTTTATGCTTTCAGGCTATTCTTAGTAATAGTTAGTGAAGTTTAAGAACCAACAAATACCTTTTCAGGGTGTTTTACAAACCTCATTTACTCATTTAATCTGTTTTAGGATCCTACTTTACGAAATAAGCAACCTATTCCAGCTGCCTACAACAGATATGATCAGGAAAGATTCAAAGGCAAAGAGGGTAAGCTGATTGATATTTTTCAAAGTAAATAATTATAAACATAAAAGTGAAAAATGGTACCAATGAGTGTAAAGTTAAGGTTGCAGATTGTGTCATTGCTTGTCAAACCTATGCAAAGCCCAAAAAAAGCTGTTTCTGTACCTACAGGTATTTTAAATAAGACGATCTGCTATTTGAATCTGTTATTTCATAGGAATTATTCCTACCATATAGGAAGAAAGCTGAAAACTTAAGAAAACAGTATTTTATTTTTGGAAGATTGCATGCAATTTGTAAATTGAACCAAACAAACAACACACCCCCTTACCAAAACTGAAAACATGATGCATAAAATGAAATAGATTGCCTTTCCTTATGCAAGTTGCTGTCAGTAATTGTAAATAAATATTACTAAAGCATGTACCTGTAATAAAAAAAAAAAAAAAAAGAGAGAATGTGCAAAATATTAACTTCCTTATAGAGAAGATGGAAATAATCCAAGATGATTAAGAATTTTCAGTTGTTTTTAAGTGGAGCTGAAGCTTGAATTTGACTGGTGATTTCTTTCTGAACTTAGAATTTTTTGTCCTGGCCTTACTAATCTCAAGGTATAGTGCTGATTTGAGTACCTTTATTTTCATATCTTGCTGTGTTTGGTTTTGTATGTACTGTGTTATATTTGCATGTGGCTTTCTTGCAGAGCCACGGCAAATTTTTACTACTTGTCTTGGTTGTCTCTTCCTTCTGGTTCTCAAACAAAATCATTATTTTTGTAAATGGAAGTTCCTAGGCATGATACCAAAGGCTTTCTTTTCTGGGCCTCAAAAACTTTATGTGCTGCAGGTGAACAGTTCCAGCTTGCATTTTTCAATGTATTTGGCCTTGTTGTAGTTAATACCATATATTTTTTTTTGTATGGGGAAAGAGAAAAGCATTCATACACAGTGTGTGTGAATTCTCAGTCTCTATGTGCTGTACTGTAGCTGATCTTGTTCAAATTTTGTATTGGAATGGCACGATTATTTTCACTATGTAAACAAAAAGCAAGAGTATTTGAGCTACTAATTTTTGTTTGCAGCTGGAGGAGGAGAAATATCAACTCTAACACTAAGAAGAATTTCACACCATAAGAAATTTTTAAGTGTTGTTTCCTATGCACCTCATTGGATAATGTAAAATACATTCAAAATCAGATTGTGCATCTTTGTGAAGCTAATAGACTTTTCTTTGTAAATACTCACTTGTATGTGAACATATCATCTAGGGTTTTATGCTTGTGAAACTCACTATGGAAAATTTGGTCACATATTTTGTTACATCCTGTTACATACATTGGCTTCAGTGTACTTTTATTTCAATCCAGTGGAATTTATTTAGTACCCCCACTCATTGACAACTGCGGTAGTGATGGGGAGGGAGGGGAAGGAGTGAGATCAGGCATTTGCTAGCTTTTTAAGTAATGAAAAATAATCTGTAAGAGCATATATGAAGGTAATCTGTAAGAGCATATATGAAGGACTGATAGTTGTTTTAAGAGGCATGGGACTGGGGAAAGGGAAGAAAGAGAACCTTCCCTGGATATTTTTTACTCTTCAGTTTTCTTTCTGATAACTTTTAGTCTTGGGATTTGAGCATTTGGCGAGTAGATTTCCTTTCACTGCGCTTTCTGATGAGGAGTACAGAAAATGTGTGAAGTTATATCTGTCCGTGAATTACTTTATCCAGCTTTAACTGTTAAAATGTAGTGATACATTTATTGCATTGTGGACTCTGCTACAAGAAATTCCAGTGAAGGAATAGTCAGTGTTGTTGTAGATGACAAATTATGTAGTTCTAGCAAGCAACCCATGTAGAGATGATGTCTGCTGACTTAATGCGTGTAGTTCAAAAAGAAAGAGGATAAAGAGTTACGTTTGTCAGTAAAAAGAAGTTAGGTTTCATCTAGCAGCTCAACAGCATGGGTTTACCACAGAAATTTCTGAGCAGAGATCAGAAAATGGTGAAATTAAAGGATTGCCAGGAAAAAAAGGTGTCTGTCTGTGATTAATATTGGTAAAAATGCTTTTGTATACTAAGTGATTCTGAGCCTGTAGTCTTGAGGATTCTCTTAGTACTGGGAGGGCTGCAGCTCTCCTTCTAATTGGAAGGTTTGTTTTTTTGTTATTATGAATGCTTGTGGAATGGGCATATTCTACATGGAAAGTTATCACTCTCCATCTTCGTAAAAGATGTCCCTATTTTCCGTTTTTATCATTTGCTTTAATCACACGCAGAGGTAATTTTGTTTTCAATCTCCTAGGTGCATTTAAAGAAATAAGTAGCTTAAGAATGTCACTGATGTTACCAAATTAGATAAACTGTCTAACACCATAAACATATGTTGGTATGAGCACCTAATTTATTTCAAATAAAGGGTTGATTTATGAAAGGCATTGGTATAACATTCATGGAAGCTGTGTGGAATTGCTAAATAACATCTGGGTTTCTCAGGAGAGGACCTGGAGATATCTGAGGCCTTTAACTTCTAGAGAACAGCAGAACAGATTGCTTATTTACTTCTGGGGTACAGTAATGTAGAACTATAACTTTAGGACTATAACCTAAATGAAGCAAATTGTAGGTGGTTTTCAAAGCTGTAAGCAAACATTACCATTTTCCTATGCCATTCAGCACAAGTAATGTGATTTCCTTGAAATGGAGCTGAATACATGGCAATTGTAACACGAGTGAGCTTACTCCTTAAAGGATCTTAAATCTCATTGACTTAAAGGTGAACTATTTTGTTCAGTTTTTTTCTCTGAATATTTCTGTGTTTGGTTTACTACAGCAGTTGTCTAATAGCAGTCTCACTCTTAGCAAAAACAGTTTAAAGCTTGCAGGGCTAAGATAGTAAACTTAGGAATTTTAATAAAAGATCTCCTATTAAAGGAGACTGCTGAATAGCAGCCTTATTTTTCCATCTCTTGCAATGGTTCACAGTGCATTTCTGGTTGGCTTACTTAAAATCTTTGTGTTAGATGGGGCACGCTTTGTTTCTGCAATGGTTTAGGTTGCTTTCATGGTACTTATTGGAGGGGTTTGTAATTGCGAGGCAGTATTCCCCAAGAGCAGCTTCTTATGTACCACAAAGACAGTCATGGCTTTCTCACAAATGAGCATCTTAGTACAGCAGCTATGGCTAGAAAGGAGAAAGCTTTCCTTCAAGTATCTTAACACTTGGTGATTTATACCATAGTAAATGTATTAGATAGTCTCTTACAGTAGAACTCAGTGTGCATCCTATATATTTCCACAATGGAAGAACATCTTACTTGGCAGTGTACCTGTCACTCTGCTCAAATGGTTTAGAGGTGAGAAGGTGAACAGTGCAATTACTTTGCTTGACTGCTGTTTCCTTCCTTTTGGTTTCGTTTCTTTCATGCTGGCACTCAGTGATCTGCAGCAAAACAAAGCTCCTGTCTGTGCTAAACTTTCTTTGCTTTTGGCTCTGTAGTTTTATTCTTTGCCTTCACTGTTATTCAGTTCTACATTTTATGTTTTATTAATGTCACTTATTAATGTACAGTTTTACCATTTCATTCATAGAAGTAGGAATTCTGGAGTTTCAAAGCTTGAATGCCTTGTTAGACTTCATTATTGCATTCATATGTAAGCTTATGGGATTCAGTTTCTTTCTGGCAGAGAACATGCAAGAGATTGGTGTTAGGGGAATAAAATAAGTCACACTTGTGCTTTCCTGGCTTTGTGTAAGCAGGTAGTTTTGTAAGTATTCAGAACTGGAAAGCAGACATATCTGTCTTGTGATTTTTTGCTTTGTTAATATTGTGACTTTTTGAAAAATATGGATGTAATTGTTTGTAAGATTACCCTTGAATTGTTTTATATGAATTTTACACAGAACTTTGTAAATTCTAGTTAGTGTAACTTGAGAATATAGGATTGTGTAGTGGAAATGCTGAGTCACAGCCTGAAGCAGTGACAGAGCACCTGGTGGGAAGGCAGGGCCAACCCAGGGGAGCTCAGGTGTGTGCAGTGAACCTGAGTGACCAAAAAGTGTGGAGCCAGGATCCACCCCTTCCCGGACCTCATTTAAGGGTGAGTGGTGGAGATAAGAGCATCTCATCCCAAGGTTAACAAGATATTCTTCCTTTTCTGTGCCCACAGCTGCTGCTTTTGGGCTTATCCTCACTTGCCACAGACTAAGACTTTGCTACTCTGCTATTACTGCTGTGCTTTCTGTCTCATTATAATGTTACAGCTTGAAACTTCAGCTTTACTTGTTAGGATACAATACTAAAAAAGAACATTCAGAAGACTGTTATGTTGAATGAAATTTGTTTTCAGAGATCTAATTGTCATGAGTGTAAAGTGGGGTAGTGAATTATTTCTAAACAGTCTGCAGAGCTGTTGCTGTCTGTCCTGAAAAGTGCATAGCTGAAAAAAAAAAAAGTAGTTGGTTTGATCTTATTCACCTACAATTTAGGCAGCCTTAGAATTTGGACTTTCCAGTTTTTCAGAGCCATCTTCTTCTGGACTTTTTTTTTTTGTCTTTTTTTCCTAAACATTGTTCCAGAACAATGTTAATTGAAGTTTTTTAGAGCTATTATTCTTTGGAAAAGTGTCGAAGAGATTGAATTAGTGTCGGCAGTGGATGTCTAGAGCTATAGCAGGTTCAAAATCAAAATGTCAAGTGACCTAGATTTACATAGAGCAGTGGGCTTTAAGTGAATGCAAGGCTCCTTGAACTTTAATAGTCATATGTGTGGAAATTGAACATCTGTCTGTGTGATAATGGAGAATCTGATCAGTCCAATAAGCCAATGCATTACTGTGTATGTTTTCATTAGCAGATTGTAATTGGTATCTTTTAAGTGAGAGAAGCACTCGGGTTGATATGTGGTGATGCTAGAAAGGTAACAAGTGGTGAACCATACAGGAAAAGTATATGTTTCTTTTGATGATTTTTGGGTCATTGAACTGTGAAATTGTGATCATAATACGTGCAATAACTGGAGGGGAATAGATAGTCTTAATGTTAGCTGTAACAGTTTGTTTTGAAGCACTGGAACTGATTATATGGTAGTTGTTGTGTTTAGTCTCTTCTGATCTAGGTTTTAGACGTACCTTGATGAAGATGATTTGAACAATGCTGATATGTTTATAAAACGTTATATTTGGCAAACAGAAAAAGTTGTAATGTTTTTGCTGCAATACACTAATGATAAGTTTTGCTTGCGTTCTTTACTCTTTTAAATATTTAATGTGGGCTGTTTTTATTTAAATGAAGTTTCTGTGATAGCCTAACTATTTTGTAGTCTTTGGAGGAAGAGAAGTTATTGAAGACTCTTAAGCAGCTTTTTTAGTAGTTGTTCTGTTTCTAATTCAGAGTTTAAAAATAGAGATCTGAAGTTCTGCCATTTTGGCGCTGTTCTTAAAGAATCTCTTCTTAAATACCCTCTTCTTAGTAGATAGCTTATAAATTTAACTCTTTCCTCCATTCCCATCAATGAAGCTGTGATTTTTGGAACTGGAGTTGCCAACTAATTGTCAGCCAGTTGTTAATATTTTTACATCCATGCTGCTGCATGACTCAGCAGTGCAGGTTTGAGCTGGCGAGGAAGGCACAGAAAAAATGCATTGCATTTCTGTTCTTTGTCAGGGGAGGATGCAGCATTTATACTATTGAATGGTGGGGAATGTCTGTTGGTGCTTCAGATTGCTTGGCTTTCTGCTCCACTTTACTGTGGCCTATGGGTCCTTTTGTGTCCCTGGAGTGCTTTTGAGCAGCTGTGTCAGGGTCAGCTTCTACCCCCATAGAATACTTTGGAAGAAATCCTGCTCTGCCTTTTGTACTGGCCCTTGAATGTCTTCTACAAACAGCTGCAGAAGGCTGGCTAACAGACTCAGTAATTTTTGAAATGGGAATGAAGCCATTACTGTGGAGTTCCTGACTTGGAAGCATTTGTCAGCTTTGCATAGGCTGTATGCTGGGAGTGGAACTGAAGGTGCTGTGCGTAGAAACTGTTACGACCTTCTAAAAATGGTATGACTGTAGAAGTGACAGAGCTCCTGCAGTCAGCAGCATTTATTTCTGCAAGTGACTGTTAGAAATATCACATGGAAAATGAGATGAATGAGAGGATCAGGGAGAAACTTCTGAGGTAAGAGTGTCCATGCTGTTGTCAGTTAAGAGAGTTGCTGTGGTTATTTAGAAGCTGCCAGTGGTTAACTCTCATCCATCATTTGTTTAAGAGTTTGAGGCAGGGAATTTGAGAGCTGTTGAGCTGTTTAGGAGGTGGTTTCTTCTGCAGACCTAACTGTCTGCAGGTAGCAGACCCTGGCGTCCCTTGGAGACCTCATAGTGGCTGCGGTAACTGTTTGCAGGAATCCATGTGGACACCTGCATTCTCTTCTGGCCATTTCATTTATTTTAGATTTACATTAATCAATGATAAGTAAATAGTAGAGGCACTATGCTGTTATTTACTGATGATCAGAAATGTTTTATTTGCCTCCTAAGTAGCTGCTAAATAGCATTGAAAGGCTTGTATCCGTGCTGGAAATGTTCAGCAGGCTAGGAGCCCACTCTTTAATGCTTGCTACACCAGCTGGCTCTTTGGATCCTAGTCACTCACTCCTCCTGGAAGGAAGAGTTGGCACAAGGCTGGGAGCAGGAAGTGAGTGAGACCCAGGGCCATATTTAGTGGCTCTTTGTGGCTCACTGGATGAACCAGGGCAAATTGAACTTAAGTAGATTTTTATTTTAAAAAAAAAAAAAAAAGATGAAACCATTAGAGGTTGAACACAAGCTGGTTCCCTGCTAGGTGCCTGTCTCCTCTTTGATTTACTTTCTAACTGTGCTGCTGGCTCTGAGCTTTTATTCCCTTTGTGGTGCTGATGGAGTCATGGGTTAGCTTTTTCATTAATTCAGGAGGAGCGCAAGGTTTTATTACGGACAAAGTAGATAATGATCCTGGTGGAAAGAAATAATTGAAATGCAAAATAAATGTGTAGAACTAATGATAGAATGAGGGTTCGTGCTGGGAGGGAAGGAACTGAGGTAGGCATGGCATCGTGGGGGTGCTGCTTGCTGGCCTTGCTAAGGGCTGTCTGGTTGAAATGGGTGGGAACTTCCCATGTTACTGCTAGGAGGAAACTATAGTAGGCCAGCTGGGAAAGGGGAAAGGTTCCTCTGTTAATAATTGTCTGCAGTCTGCAAGCAACCATCGTCCTAGATTATACATCACTGATTTGTTCACCCCAGGTCAATAAAGATATCTCTTCAGCTGAAGGGAGGGAGCTCTACCAAGCACGCCACAGGGCCTGGGGCACCCCATGTAATATTAATATGCTCCTTGCCCAGAAACAGTGACCAGTATCATTGTCACTGAGAAAAGTGTTATCCACATGAATGCTGGTCAGATGAGCTTTATTGTCTTTAGCACTGAGCTATGAGTAATTACACATTGAACTCGGAGGGAAAGGCAATAAGGTGTTATCAATTCACAAGGAAAGCCTTTTTTTCATAGTAAAGATGGCAGTATTCTGGTCTGTACTTGCATTTTGCTTTCTCAAAATTAACTCTGTATGGTTGGAAAACATAAAGTTCAGTAGAATGGGATGGATTTGAGAAGCTGAGATAAAGGAGGGATGGAGCTGAGGTCAATTTGTGCAGTGAGTGGAGAAATGGCCTGTGACATGGCAGACAGCACCAGCAGAACAACTGGGTTTCTCTGCGTGGGATTTGGTGGTAGGCCTGATAGAGAACCCAAAACAGCATTCTGAAAGTAGATACCCATTTCTGCAGTGAGAGGAGTATGATCAATTCTGATCTCTTGGGTATCTTTCTCCAGGCAATGGAGAGTCATAAAATCTGGGGAACTGTTCTGCTTCATTTCCTGCAACTGTATGATAATCTTCCTCATCTAAAGAAGGAAAGGATGAACAACCATAAATGTGTCCCAGGACGTTGCATTGTTGACAGGGTTGTGTGGGTTTCAATTTAAGTTAATTTACTCATGGTAAACACAAGGAGCTCTAACATTGTTGAAAATCTGATATTTTTCTTCAACTTTTTGTAGGCTTGAGTACAAGCATTAAACTTGATTCTGTGTTATTTTTGGTTTGCAAGTTTTTAAGCTGATGAATTTTGTGAAGACGGTGTAATAAATGATAGTGGTATTCCAGATCCCAATAAGGATTTCTTTGCAGTATCAAGTATCTTTACAAGCTGAAATAGAGCAAGAGTTGCTTAGGTGTGTATATGTGCTCACAGCCATCATGTTGATAGGTTATCATGTCTATCTCTGGTGACTAGTGGTTACTTTGCCACTTTAAGAACGAACTTAATTAAGCTCTTGGTTGCTCAATTCAGCTGACAGTGGATATATGAGACCAGGGAATGTGCAAGTGGAGAAGAGTTTTACCACAAATTCTGGGGCCACATTCAGCTGACTTAGGTTGTATATTACTAACAATAGGAGGACAGAAAAGGACTTTTCAAACTCGGAAAGCTCTCAGCAGAAGGGTTAGTCACTGAGCGCATGCAGGCTTTTGGCACTTTGTTTTATTAAGGTTCAGTTTATGCTGTTCCAAAACAAAAAACAAACCCAAACAACTTTTTATCACTTTGAGTTTGGTAATGTGAGTTTATGTGAATTCTATTCTGTGTATGTCAGATGATAATGACAATGTTGCTTTAATGCACTGCAGAAGTGGATTTATCATAGGAAATGACTGTGATTTTATGTTTGTTAAAGTAGTTTCTAATGGAGTATGTTCTTGCATTCACGCGCATATAAGTTGAACACGTTGCAATATAATGCATTCGGAGAACGAATTTCTTCTTCATTTGGTAGTGAAGAGAATTTCTGATGCTGTATGTGTATTATAGTGCATGTAGTATATTATATACTGCAAAGATTTAAATTCACATCATTTCTTTAGAACGATTCCATATGGCAGAAGAAGCCCACTGTGGTTACAGAAGGCAGAAATACCAGGTGGACCTCTGCCTAAAGAGAACACAGATTTCCTAAATACTAACCAGGTTTCATAGCATACAGCGATGTGTATTACTTATTCAAATAATTTCAAATATATTTCTAATGTTGTCTACTTAGAAATTATGTTCCTATGCTCATAATGATTTACAGGAAACTCTTCTGCTTTGCAGAAACGGAGGGCTTTAAAATTGATACCATGGGCACCTATCATGGAATGACTCTGAAGTCTGTAACGGTAAGCTGAAGGTTTTTTCTGAAATGTGTTTTATAGAGGTCGTGTGTTTCTTGTCAGCCTTACCTAAGGTAAGACGTTTCATTTGATTAATAGAAGTAATGATTGCTTTTCTGTGTGAAGAGGTGAAACGTGTTTTGATTCAGTTGGTTCATTTTAAAGATTTTGGTTCAAGGGGTTTGTCTGAAGGTTTTCAATAGGGAGACTTTGCTGGCAAGTTTGTCTTGTGGAAGTATAGCCTTTCTGTTGTTGACCGAGGTTTTTGTCTAGCTTTATGTGTTCCTGTTAAGGACATCTTTCATATGTGATGAAACTACACTCACAAAATTTCAGAAATAAAGCTAGATTTTTGAGTATTGATGCATTTCCTACTCCATGCTTAATAAAAATAAATTTAAATATCAGAAGAATTTTTACCTGGGTTACTGTTGAAAATTATTGGCCTAGTGAAATCTACTTTTCATATGACTTAAGCATGCTGTATGTGGGGATTGTTCTATGTAAAGATGAGAGATCCCTGAGCAGAGTTCTTCATTTTTGGGGCCAACGTTTCTTTGCTTTTATGAAAATAGGTTGAATGCTCTCAAAATAATACTGTTCTGATCTGCTGGTGGGTAGGATAAATGCTACAGAACTAATGCAGAGCCCTCATTAAAGTTTTTGCCATCTGCATACCTATATAAATCTGATGAATTGACAATATGAGGTACTCTACTAAATCCCAGTCTTACTTTGTTTTTCATGTCAGGATGGAGAGAATGAATCTATTAATTACATGACATAGAAGTGGTCATCTGTTTTTGTCCGGACTTGCTCACAGTGATGGGTCCACATAGGTCCAATCCTTAATCTTCAGATTTAGGTGTAGAGTACTTAATTTCCTACAAGTTGCCAAATTTCACTTTACAGTCTTAGTTGTCTTTTTATAGGTGTATGTGTTTCTATTTTTAATGCTGTATAAATGTAGGAGGAAATAGGGAAGTGATTTCTCCCCGAAATGTATGGTGAAGTATTTAATTCTCATTGGTTAAATCATAGGACACAATTCCAACACTATACCCCAGTTTCCTATGTATGTGATATCCTCTCTGCCATCCTCACAGTGACAATTATTTGTATTATCTTGTTTGTGAATTAATGACATCCTCTCAGTGGGCTTGAAGTGCTAGGTAGATTATCATTAGATTGAAACCTCAGGCCTCTGATTTCCAGATGAATGGTGAGTGAACTTTGAAGCACTTATTTTTGTATCACTGTTTTGCTCTTATGTTTCATCTCTGGTGTTTGTTTTCACTGATGTTCTTACAAAGGGCAGTGCAGTCCTTCTCATAAGACTTCTTATTTGGCTTGGCTAAACAAGTTGTGTTGTGAAATAAGTTTTCAATTCCTATCTGAACTTTCTTCATCTCTTCCTGTTAAACTCATATTTTTTTAGAACATAGAGAAGTAAAACTTCACATAGTCATGCAAGTGAGATTTCACCAAAAGTTTCTGGAAAGACATTTACAATTTGCTTCTGAAAAAGTATTGCTTCATGGTAGGCGAATCAAGTATTTTACTTTACCTTTAGTCTTTGTTTCTTTTTCTTATTATTTTTGCTGTAGTTTACACTTTGCATATTAAAAGAGATGATTTAATCTAATAAAGTAGTTCATTTGGGCATTTGCATATTGGTAATCCAATCTATCCATGCTTTTGTTTTCTCTGTTGCACTCATTTCCTTGGCTTCCTTGTTGCTCCTTGTCCTTTATTTTTTTTTTTTGTCTGATCTGTACAGTTCACTTTGATGGCAGGTCTTCTCTTCAACAGGTTGGTGGAGCCATTAGTTTTCAAAAGCGTCCATCTTGTTAGCAACCAGACAAACTTGATAGGCATATGATTACTACCTGCAGTGCAAACTGTTGCCCCACTGTCTGGAGCTGCCCACCCACTTTGGATGTAAAATTTGCAACATGTCTCTTATTTGCTCTCTGTTATCTTCCCAACATGTCTTCCCCTTGGCACTGTATGTCTTAGTGTAATTCTCTGTAATTCATTTTATGAAGCTTGCAGTACAGTTTTTTATTTGTTCTTGCTGAAATATGAGTTGTCCTAGATGCTTGTTCTTGTTAACAGTGAAACAAACTTCTGCATTTCGACTGCTTTCTTTTCATCAGCGATGCTGGAAACTTTCTTAGCATTCAAAATTTGTGCCAGAACAGATGGTGAATGGTGGGCTCTTTTGAAGTAATGTCAGCTAAAATAACTTGTGCTGCTGGCAGTTCTTCCCTGCAACAGGGTTTTTGCTTAATTGGTGTGCTTACTTTGTCTAAGGAAGAGCTGACGTATTTAATGAATTCTTATGAAGCCATGGCTTCATTATTCTGGACCTGGAATTGTTTGTAACAAGGCATCTTTGATAATACCTGGGGCACTTTCTGTTTGCCTGATGGGCTGGTGATGTTTTGGAAACCACCAAGCTAGTGATAGTAGCTCAACAAGCCCAGCAGCGTGTTGAAAACCATGCAGCGTGACTTTGAGAAACTCCCAGATCTACCTGCAGACTTGATTCTAAAGCATGACCCTCTGTATAGCAGTGCAGCTTCTGTGGTGTTTCTTCTGGTTGGTTGGTTTTCATTAAGTAGAATAGTTTACTGTTTGAAATGGATCAATTAAGAGGTACAGAATTACGGAAGATAAATTTGTTAATAGTTTTGCACCATGTAGGATGCAAGGGAATGCTGTGAGAGAATTTTAAACAGATGTTCTTGACGTTGTCTTTCTTACATGTATGCCTTTGACAAGTTCAGGGCATTCTCTGTTTGCTTTTCACTTAGTGAAGGGAAATGCTAGCTTTGAGACTAAGCCAGTATCCTTTGGAAGCCTACAAAGTGGGTTTGGGTGGTGGTGATTGCTGCTGTTTTAGATATGTGATTAAGGTTTGGACTGATGGTTACTGTCAGTAGGAATTATGAAGTATTTAGCTGCTGCAATAGCTTCAGATGCAAAGATTAGAACAAACAAGCTGTCTTGCCTGTATCTGTTTTAGGATACTGGAGAGGTTACTGGCTCTGTATGTATCTGGTAAATCTGTATTTTATAGATGGTTGTTAAAGCATGTCCTCTTAAAGCTGAGAGCTTGCTTTATATTCATCGTGCATGTGCAAGTGATATTTGTTTCTCCATGACAAATTTAGTCACTGCTTGTTTTATCTGCCTTTTAATATTATTTTAAGTTTTCATGACTTCAATATGGGAAAAAGGAATAGATTGATACCCCTTGGCAGACTTTCTGCTTCTTTCGTTTCTGGGAGTCCTGACCGTCAACCGTAATTCAGAGCTGATAGAAACTTGGATGCAAGTGAATAAGATTTGTGTGTTACTGTAGTAGGGCCTTCCTCATGGAAATTACTTTGCTTTTTCTAATTGCTGGGATACTCCCCTTTTTCTAATTTCTGTTTTCTTTCAGTAATCAAAGCTGCGGAAGCACAGAAGCTCCTTTTGTCTGTTGTTTTTCTGTAACTAATGGGATCTGTCATTGATCATCTGCACTTGTATGCAGCCAGAAATAACTGTTGGCATTTGTTTTTCTTAGTGTTCTGTAAGCAGGTGGATATAACAGTCCTCTGAGGTACTGAGGTAATTTACTTAGTAACAAAACTGGATGTCCCAACATAAGCCACGCTATAAGCAGGCTTCCTTTCAGAAGAACTGGAAATATGTTTTAGCACCTCTAAGGTCAGAGGTATTTTTCAGCACTTGTTCAATCTCATATTTGAGTATTAACTCATGAAAGTATGTTACTGATGCTGCCCTCGAAATCGGAGTATGCTAGTCTTGGTGAATTCCATATTTTATGCAAGAGGTTTCATTAACCTCTGGTAAAATTTTTTTAAGAATTACCATGCTGTAAAATGAGGGGTAAGGCTGAGTTTCTGGCGCTGTAAAGATTGGGCCAGTGGAGAGGAAACAGGCAGGAGCAGGCAGCATGGTGTAACTTTATGTAACAGTGAGGTTTCTATGTAAATAAGGGAGATTATGAGATTTTTTTTAAATTTACATTAATGACTTCCCAAAAGCATGTGATGGGATTGAATGCTGTCTTTTAATATGCTAATATTGAAGCACTTAACTTGCAGAAGTAAATGAAAATAAAACACAGCTTCAACATTAGATTGGGGTGAGCAGACTACTTATACCCGCATCACCAGTTTTATGTGTCATAATCTCATTAAAATACTTGAATGGATTGGTATTAAAGGAGGAGTCAGCAAAACAACAGACTCTTTGAAAATGCTCTCAGCAGCCTCTGAAGCAGTGCAGTGCACAAGCTTGCCATTATTCCCCACGCCAGTGTAAGGTCAGTCTGCCCACGACTCCTGCTCTGTGGGCCCAACCACTTTCTGTGCATGCTCTGTGCCTTGGGAGGCCACTGTGAGCTTGTTTAGCTGCTAACCAGCAAAAGAGGATGAAGAATGTGTTGTAATAATTAGATATTGGGAGAGCTCTCCATAAATGATACTTGAAGCAGAGACTTTTGTTCTCATATGACTTGTAATTTTTTTCATAGTAAGTATGTTTATGTGTAATTAATTGGGATGTAGCCACCCATTCTTAGTCCTTTGGGTCCAAGAGCTAGACTTTGAGCACTAGCTTGGAACATCCTTGAGCTGGAGGTGGGTTTGACCAAACCATTCTCCCAGCAGCCTCATTGTGTTCCTGCTGTCCTAGACTGCCCTGGGGCAACAGACCTGCAGGCCCTTCTTGTGGCCTGTATCCCTCTGCTTTAGTAACAGTGAATGAAATGCAACCAAGATTCCTGAAGACTGTTACACTCTAAAAGATCCCTACAGTCATTTCAGTGGTTGGCATTTTACTGCCCCAGTTGTTTTTCAAACATTAAATAAAGATTCCCTTAAAAAGTTTCAATGTAAACAGTCAAGTTGATAAAAACTGGGGAAAATGACACACAAATGCTGCTTTCAAGAAAATGCTAGGTTGAACAATGCTGTGCTCATTTTCTC